ACAAGTGTTGCTTACAGAAGTGTCACTCCGACAGGACCAACTGAAATTGAGCCCAGTATGTATTCCAGGGCCAATGTCTGCGTCGTAACTTAAAGAGCCATCCACGGTGACGTTTTGCTTGGACCCCCACCGTACACTGTTTCCTCCATCAAGAATGGCTCGCAAGGGAGCTGCAATAACCTCGATGAAGCCATAATCAAAGGCGTTGAGAATTTTTGGGGATGCTGGATCTCCGACTGCAAGTGTAGCATTGAATTTGACTTGATAGATACCAGCAGGTATGGATCGCTTGTTTATCGTCCACTCCGTTGTCCCATGACTAACTATAGTTCCTAATGCTGACTCCGAGGAAGTTAGCTCCATTTCGCTAACAACGCTCCATTCAAAGGCACTTGTCAGTACGGTTAAATCTTTGTTTAGGCCCTGTATTAGGGCTTCTCGGACACTTTTGACTGAGCGTTGCACAGGTGTGGCATGATACTTGTCTTTTGAAATGTTTCTGATAGTCACTGAGAAATCTCCTGAGGATGATATGGTTAACATAGTTGTTACATTATTTTTATCCCCAAAGAAAACAAAGGTTTGTTAGATGGGTCAAATTCCTGATAAATTTACCAAAATAGCCCCGTGCCTGCCATTTCGGTGATCGATTTTCAAGGCCTAGATAAATCGTGCATTCACTAAATATCTCTTGTCCAGGGGCTGAAATACAATAAACTGATGGTTATGACAAATTATCAGCTAAATATTCTTTCAATGAAATTTGACATAATTCTTACCAACGGGATCACATGATAATACCCCATTACCAATGTAGTTTTTTCGGCACTCACAGCTGAAGGATCCCGGATTGTTAAAACAGTAAGCAACTCCATGACAGTTATGAGATGATATTGCACATTCGTCTATATCTATAGAATCATAGGAACGAGCATAAATTTCGAGGAATTTCTTTGTTTCAGGGTGTACCAATGAAGCTCTTGATCAATTTCCTTCAACAAACGAAAAATTGAGTACCCACTTAGACAAGTGCAATTATATGAGCCTAAAGTGTTGTTACACTGAGCATTCACGTCGCAGTTGTGTTTCTGATCCTGACATTCATCTTCATCTAAAAAGGAAGTTATAATTATGGAAAGAAAGTCATATCCCATTGTTTAGTATAATCAGAGAGCAGATTTCAATATAGTTATGGACATTTAGTACACTTTAAAATGTTTCCTTGAAATATGTGAGAAAACAGAATATAGATTGCATGTAAATTTAACCATTACAGATGCCTGTGTATGTATGCAGATATCCGCCGAGCTCTCAAATAAATTCATCAATAAATCATTGGTCAAAATAAAAGGTTTGTAGGGAAACTGACTGACCAACTCGAATACACTGAACAGATACAAGTATAAATAAATGCCACGCATGGCTGTTCTCGTAATGACTCATTATATTCATTGTTACCTAAGCCAAGATTTTTCACTTTATTTATTTGCTCTGCTGTTAAGGCTACGTCATAAAACTGCATAGCAGCAATTCTTGCAGTCAAATAACGAGTATCGTCTGCTTTCACACTAACTCTGACGTTATCCTGTGTACCCAGCGTTATGCCGGCCCCGATATTCTCCTCTACTACTCTCACTCCATTAACCCATAGACTTGCCATTCCAGTTATATAGTCGTAAGAAGCACCAATATAATGCCATTTGTGCGTCGCCAAAGACTGATTAGTCCAGAAAGGATAAGATGTAGATAAGTACTCTCTGTTTCTAAAGTGAACGTAAAGTTTTCCGTGCCCGTTTATCCAAACGTGAACGGCCCACTTACCACTTGATTTGTAGTTAAATATAGGCCCGGCGCGTGTATTTTCAAAATAAAGCCAACATAACAATGTGATTGAGTTTTTCAAGTCTAATCCCCCATCGTTTGGGAACTCGATGTAGCTGTTCGGATGCCCGAAGAATTGATAAGAGCCACCTGCGCCACCACTCGGACCTGTTGCTAAGGATAAATCTCCACGAATGCCTTGAGGTTGTTTATTAGTGATCTCCCTTGTTTCAAAGAAACTGTTTAAAGGAAAAATGGCTCTTGCTTCTGGGATATTGGGGGCTGCAAGAAGAGTCATTAACGAGCTAACTTAGTATTTTGCAGATTGTACTTTGGTTAGATGCAATATTGGCAACTTTAGAGCGAATGTTACCGATGGTCAAACAAATAGTGGCAACGGCTGAAAAATCAATTTAGCACATATCTCAAATTTATGTAGATCTTAGAGAAAAAGAAACCACTGCATACTTCTTTTTGCTGAATATAGAATTATTTTCGAGAAATCGATAATAACTGAATTCCGCCAAAATGCCCCTTGTGAAGCTCAAATTTGAGTCGAATCTCGGAATTTCGCGTCACAAAATGAAAACTCCTGGACTAATGAAGAGTACCAAATGTTGAGAAAACGACATCAAAACATATTTTGACAACTATTTGAGGATTTCATGATCTTTTATTTACACAATCTAATTGAATTTATCCGACCCACTTTCGGCTAGATTAAAAATAGGTCAATAACCTATTATTGATTTAACTATGTGCTACACAAAGTAATTTACTGAAAATCTGGCTGTTGGAAGATAAAGTGTATATTTTTTCGATCTCTAAGAGATTTTTAGGGAAATGATTTGGCGATGCCGTTAATTAGCCAAAAATGTACACATACCCATGCAAACTCAATTGTTTCGAATTATACGTTTAACGTACGGCTCATTTAACATAACATCCCCTTACCTTCCATGTTACTGTTTTGGAGAGGAGGGCTACAGTCCTGAAATTGTGGTATCGTCCACATAAAAGCAGGAAAAACTTTGTAGGATACTCAACATCTTACAAAGTGTAGTTTGGGGTTTTCAATATAAGGTTTCTTTAGTCCCATTTCGTTTAAAAGAAGCTGTAATTATTTCACGTAAGAGATCTTTGCTTAAACATAAGTATTCAATCGAATCGCGAACGAAATGTAAGCGGAATGTGGTTATTTCCGAAACATGTTTCTTATGTCCATGCAGAATAACGCTAATTAATTCAAAATGAGGTCTACTGAAAACGATAACTTTGCAAAAATAGAACATTGGACTGTGAAAAATATGGCTTCGGGAACGAAGTTCGCGATTTAAATACACGAAACAAGAGCAGACGATCATATAACCCCGATCATAATTAAATGTATCATGATTAAATGAATCCTGGGTTTTTTTTTAATATTGTTTTAGGTGAATAAAGCGAAAGATCTGCAAAGGGCATAGCCCAATGCTGCAGATGTGCAATAGAGAAAACTGCAGTGTTAGAATATTTGTCTATTTAAAAGAAGCTGTAATAAGGGTCCAAACCACAACTTTTCTGAAATTTTTGTACCAGCCAACGCTATACAGATATATATTGTTACTACTTCTTCTCCAGAGGCTACCATGTCTCGTGAAGTTAATCGTGACGGTAGTTAGACTACGACCCACGTAACACGTTCCCAGATTCGCATTTATCTTTTCCTGGCGGTGGTCCAAAAAAGGTTACATTTGGTTGTAAAACCATTTCTATGTGTCTCGAAACTCAAGAAACGCCAAGAGTAATCATTCCGCTAGCTGATACAGCAGGCTCGAGTGCTAGTCGGTATACCTTATATCAGGGACTTAATGTAAAAATGCATGTCTCCTGAGAGTTAATGGTGCTGATAATGTATATTTCAAACAGTGGCTTTTGAGAGAATGAACCCTGCTAGTTAGATATTTCGCGCTCTATGCAGTAATTCATGTTGGGCTCATCTCCTTAATCTTTCCTTCGAAGGCCAGAAATTTAAGAAGTAAATGACTACCTCTTATAGACGGTTTAAAAATTAAGAAGCACTTCCTTGTTCAGCCATAGCGGATCATCAAAGTACGTTAGTAATCCGTAAGATTTGCCGACAGGGAGCGGATCTTTCGCAGGCAAGAAATTCAAGGTTTGCATTAGAAATTTTTTCCGTGCTTTTTCGACCACACTTGTCGACTCGTTCCCAAGAGCTGCTTGCCCTTGCTTGATATTGAATATAAGTCAAGATCAAGAGAGTAACAAATCTTCCGGGGCATCCCTATATGGAAAACTTCGACAGGTAGACGTGGCACTCAGTTTCACAGATGTTGTATGTGTCAAAAATGATTGGATGTTGAAGAGCAAAAGTCTTAATTACTTCCTCGATCAGTAAGCTCTTGGATGGCTTTCTCTCTGTTTGCCTCATGTTCTTCATTATCTTCACCACGAATGCTGAAAGTTAATTTTTCGCTGTTGAGCGAAAAAAAAAAAATCCTAATATCAGCTGTGAGGAAGTCGTCCTTTTTGAAAGATACTGGAGCTATCACTGAGCTTAGCTCTTCGCATTGCCTTCGAAATAATAGAAGGATCAACCTTTTTCCTGGTGTGTTTTCCCTCTTGAAATACTTCAGTAAGATAGTTTTTCTGAGCATCGGTGGGGTTCTCTCTGCTACTATCGCTGACTTCAGAGTCTATCACATCAGTTGCGCTGGACTTTCATTCCCTAACTATATATATACGTCTTCATTTACTGAACGGCATCACCGCTATGCTCCAGTTTAGCTGCATCATTGCCTTGTCGTACAGTGTTTCTTGTTCCAGGGCATACAGTTACAGATGTTTTTCTAAGGACTAGAAATGCTGGATGGACTTGATACACCCCACCTCTGGACAATATAATAGCCCACATCCTTATTCACAGGTTTCGTCATCACTGTCATTCTCTCCTGCTGAGGTCTTTGGTAATTCTGTTGCCTTTTTTTTTTTTTT